ATATTTCTCTATATCGTGCCCAGTAGGACCTGTGTCCGTGGTTCCCCGCCCGGCGCAGTCCGCTCCGTCAGAAGCTGAGGCGCCGACCGGCTGCGTCGCCGGTCGCCCATACAAGGCTTGGCGACCTTGGCGACACTGGGCCGGCCTGCGCGGCACGACCCGGACCAGCCGCGGCGCCCCGTGCCGGCGGCAACGTGCACAGGGCGCCGCGCCGACCCGGCTGGGCGGGCCGGCCGCCGATCCTGCCCCTACGGCCCGCAGCGCCAATTTTCCCGGTCAGTTCACAGCTGTCCCGCCTGCACGCGTAAAGGAGGCCCGCATGGACCACCGATGTTCGGCAGTCAGTTCGGTTGTCTCAACCTGCGGGAGGTTGAGTTATGATTGCAGAGGCTCGTGTATGAGGTCCAGCAATTCAGAGGTTTATGCGAGGTTAGCCTTGTGTGGGCCCAGCTGTGCACAGGGTTGCGTGAGGTCCGGCTGATCAGATGGGTGCCCCTCCAGCGCTGTGAGGCCCCGACTGTTCAGGAGTTCGTGTGAGGTCCGGTTGATCTGGCGAGTGCCCACCAGCCCTCTGCGTGTGCTCGCCGTTCCAGCTGCTCGCTGCGTGTGAGACTCGGTTGGACAGGGACTGTTAGATCCGGTTGATCAGGTGTGCGCCCGCCACCTCTCTGCGTCCGCCGGCCGTTCCAGCGGCTCACGGTCACCCGTCGAGCTGCAGTTCCTGCTGGCAAACCGGTTATCGGGGGCTGGGCGGCGGCCCGGGCTGCAGCGCCGCTCTGCCCGTGACTGGAGCCGCCCGGGGCTCGGGGAGGACGCACTGGACCCACTGCACGGACCCCCGTCACCCACAGGGCTGTCCGACCCCGTGTGATATTGCAGCACCTGACGCCTTAAATCACACACTAACACTCGTTGACCCTGCAGGGAGCGGGCTCGTGCTGAATAGGGCCTAGGGCTGGGGCTCTGGCTGTGCTCTGGCCGCAGCCGTAGTGAAAGTGCAGTCAGTGTGTGCGGCCGAAATAAATCCTACGAGCTTGGTGCCAGACTCTGGCGCCGTTCGTGATTACATCTGTACTACATATGTATATTGCGACCTTGAGTTTGAGAACACGTCGATAGCTATCGTGGCGAGGCCGTCCGGGCGGGAAGGCTGCGCGCCATTTTTGCGCTGGTTATTTCAGTCATGTTCTTATGATCGGTGAGCGCGGCCAACCGTAAACGGAAGGGTCTGCACTTTGCATGCTTATTACTCGCTGTGACGGGAAGGCGCGGGTCGACCAGGGAAAATAGACCCATTGAATGATGGCAGGTGTCGCTGCTAACCTAGTTGTTACGTTGGCATGACAGCTAGTGATTCTCGCCGTGAACACCTAGAATTATTCGAATTACATCCATGGTACGTGCTTAGTGCCGAGTTAGACGGCGCTCCGTGGACGGCGTGCTAAAATGGCCATCTTTTATAACGGCATATCCGCTGTAGTGTCCGGGATGGGGATGACCGACGGCTATTTAAGACTCTGACGTTAACCGGGTACGTCCCATGTCATCCCTCCCCTGTCTCCCTCCCTCTGCAGTTAGTCCTGCTGATTACGGTAGACTGACCGCCTGCACTCTGCAGTTCTCAATGAATTGGCCTGCTGCAGCACAGGCGTATTTTTCGCATAACTGGCGGTTGCAGTAACTCTTTCACTAATCGGACGTTCCTGTCCCAATTAGAATGGTGCGGTTGTGGATTTCATCAATGAACCTGGCTGGCTGGTCGGGTTACGTCAGGCACGCTGGGCCTGTTTTGTATTCGGGACCGCACCCTCGTTGTGTCCGTCCGCAGCGGACCGAGATCAGCTGTCTCGGCGCAGCTCCTGTCGAACGCAGCTGTCTCCTTGGGCCGGCGAGGACAGCCGATCAGACCAGCTGGGTCATCACGTATCGAATCAGCCTCTGTCCTCGGCAGTCAGCAGGTCCAATCATCGACATGCCATCCCTGCCGGCGTCGCTGTCCGACCCAGCCCTCCTCAGCCGCCGACAGGCATACATCATCAGGTTTACATCAGGTTTACCCATTCAGCCAACTATGCGGCGATGTCGACAGCGGACGCTGCGCCAAACAAGGCGGTCGCAAGGACAGGGTCCGGTTGGCCGGCCGGGCGCTGCGCTGAATAAAACATGAGCCGGCCGGCCGGGGCCGCTCGCTCGGCCGGCCGGCTGCCGCTGTTGCATAATGACCCGGGTCACGTCCATAGCCGCCGGCTAGCGTGGGAGAGTGGCCACAGAGCGGCGAGATACGATCGGGGCGAGTGCCGCGGCCGCCGCAAGGTCGACCGGCGCCTGACGGCACAGGGCGGAGCAAGGGCGATACGGATAACGATCTTCCACCCACTCTCGAGGAAGGTGGGATGGGGACTCCGAGTTCAACTGACACCCTAGCTCGTACTGGCACTTAGAGGTCCTTCTGACACTCTCAAGGTCCGACCGGCACTCACGAGGCCCGGCGTGCCCTCACGAGGTCCGACCGACCTCAGTTTTCCGGGTCGGCGGCGGTCAGTGCGTGGTTGTTCTCGGCCGGGCCGGCTGTTTGCACTAGAGCGGACCGTGAGAGGTGGCCCACGTGACTGCTGACTTTCCGGCGACCTTCTGTCGACTGCACGGCTCGGCCCCGCCCTGCACTACCTGATCCCGGTCCTACACCGCCCGATCCCCGCGCCGCCAGCAGCGCTGTCAGGGAGCCGGGGCCGCCCAGTGTGACGGGCCGGCCTGTCGGCTCCCATTAGTCCCTGCAGCTCGGCCCAGTTTCTCAGGAAAGCCGACGTCTGACCGCCGCACACTGGGCCGATCGCCAGGTCTAGCACGACATGGGTAAAAAAATCGAACATTGTGTATGTGCAATGAAACCTATACCAATTTGTTCAAAAATGATCATACTACATTGCTGTGTTCTTTGTTTTCCAACACAATTGCTATTTCATGGCGAAAACTCAGCTTAAACACGAACTTCGGAATCGTTTGGACCGAACTCGTCCCCCGTACTCTTCGACAACGTATCTTTGATCCACGAAAACAATCACAATTTGAGGAGGAATTCCACATTAATATACATCAAACGATAGCTCCGGGTCTGCAAAACACACATAACCACATGAAAAAGGCGAGCTCTTACTTGGTTATGATGTATTTGCACCGCAAAGATTTAAAGACGAAAATATAATTTCACATCATTGATGTCACACACAAATAGACTTTTAAAAAAAGTACCGCAGAGTACCGCTTCGAAAATCTCGCTACATGTCAATGAGTCATTGCACTACGAGATCCAACAATCATTTCTTGCGACTTTTTGCGACTTTGGATGTCAGCAGCCAAACTTCAACCCGCGCCGGACCGGTGCTTGGCGTCAAACGCGCCGGGCCGGGAGGTGTTGATTGAACACTCCCCTTCTAATTCGGCTCCTGGGCCACATAGCGACACGTAGTAAGTGACATTTGAAAGAGCGCCCAAAATTCCAAATAGAGTAATCAGTCATTTCTAGGTCAGGTCAAAGGTCACGTCACCAGAGGTCATCAAAGGTAAAATGTTGCATATATCAACATTTCTCGAAACACCGGCCCTTACCTCGGGGACCAATAGAGCGACATCGTCGCGGAAAAGTGCATTCAATTGCTTTTTTAGCGGTCTTTTTGAAATAAGCCCTCAGATTTGGCTTAACCCTCGCCCCTAGGGGTGTTTGTCCAGCCGCGAACGTATAGAAGGGATCCGTTGGACCCCCCTCCCCCCCTGCCGTTTCGCCACTGATCGAGCTAGAGCTTCGCGGAAAAGACGAGCGTGTTGCCCGTGACAAGAGGAAGCTGATGATACCCAATTGTAAGGTCCTAGGTCATCGGTTGACCTTCCAGGTCAGGTCAATGACCCAAAAGTCGGGAAAATCGGGACCTGTCAGAACGTCGTAAACGGTAAAGGGTGGCTGCTATGGGTTTTTTGGGTGCTGATCACGAATATAATGTTATTTATGATCATAGATGATGTCTTCATACATTTAGGCCAGGTCGGGTCAGGTCAGGTCAGGTCAACTAGTAAGGGCTTTGCCGGGTATTTGTAGTAGGTGGCAACCGCCTCTGACACGTTCGTTCGTAACATGTTACCAAGGCACCAAAGCTACATAGTAAATGTTCAAATGGTTTCTAGATTCGAATTCAGCTCCAAAAACTAGCCTAGAAACATGTAAAACTCGAAAAAGTGAACCAAGGTCATCAAAGGTCAATGACCTTGCCTGACCTTCCGGTGACCTTGACACCCACCCTTATGCATGGGAGCAACATAATATCTCATGTTTGAACGCTTTAAATCACGAAAAGACTGCAAACTCGCGGCTAATGCGAGCCGACATACGCTGAATCGCGATTCCGGCCAAACATGGTCTCAAAAGAAGGTCACAGGTCAAAGATCATAAGGTCAGTGTCATGAAATTTTCAGGCTAGCTGTGAAATTAATTATCGCGAGGGTACTGAAAGTTTCGTTGCGATCGGCCGCTTTTTACGCGAATTATTCGCGAAAAACCGAGGGTTCCGTTCGAAGATTCAGGTCCTGTCGCGCTAGAATGGCATATCGGCCCACTGTGCGCCGGTGAGCGGCTCGGTCTGCAGCCGCCGCCCTGTCGGCCCCCGATCTCGGCTCCGCGGCGGCGGTCGCGGCGCCGCCGCGCCGGTTCTGACGCGCCGCGCGGACGGCTGATCCGGCGCGATCATGTTCTGCTGGGTGGCGCGGTACCGCTGGAATGTCGCCCCTGTCGGTCGTTATACCAAGCCGACGTGCACCCTGAACAGCTGGGTGACGCAGAACGGACTGGGATGTCCCATGACCGCAACTTGTCGGTCATCAGGTCCTTCTTTGCGTACAGCGTACCGGTATGTCCACCAGTGTTCTGACACTGCCAACCTGTGACCTGTCCCTGACTTTAACTGACCTCTGTGTAACCTCCACTGACCCATGACCCCTCTCTGCTCTGACAGGAGGTGCAGCGCGCCATCCGGGACGGTGTGGACGCCCGCCGGCTAGTCCAGCGCCAGGTGAGCGCCGGCTCCGGCGGCGGCGGCGCCGTGGTGGATCCGCGCGCGCCGCAGCGCCGCCTCCTCCACCAGCACGGCCGCAGCTGGCGCACCGTCGACACCGACGACCTGCGCGAGACGAGCCGTCGGGACCGGCACGGCGAGCTGCGCACCGAGTCGGCGCATACCCACCAGCACGAGGAGTACCACGACGCCAAGGTGCGGCCACTAGAGGGAGTGCTTTCAGGGAGGGAGACGGGTGATGTGTAGGGATCAGTGTCGCCCCGTCCTCGTGATCTGGATTAATGTTTATCGATGTCCACTCCCTTGCCGGTACGCTATTGAAGTCAAAGTGGGATGTACTGCGTCGATAAGTGCTGAGAATCGATCAGGGTCAAAGACTTGCTGAGAAGAGTTCCCATGCCTCGATGTCGTGAATGTCATGGTTCCTGGTAAGATTGATATCTATTTACGTTTGAGCTGGGGTGAGTGCGCCGCTCATCCCGTAGACTCGCCGGCAGCCGCAAAGTGCACCTTTCATGACCTTTTACGAAGTTACCTTTTATGCTAACGTAATGGGGTATCTGTTGAAGGCTCATGGCTCTACGGCCATCCGTATTTTACTGGCTGGTGGGGCGGCCAGATAATGTTTCCCGATTGTGCCGCTGGCGGTTACAGAGCGTACTCCACCCTGCCGCCGCACGGCGCGCCCTCCGGAGAGAGGAGGGCTGGGGAGAGAGGAGGGGTGACCTCTGGGAACAACTGCGTCTTCCATGGGCGCCGGCCGGCCCACGCGGTATCCTTGCAGTGGCCGTGCCGGTGCGATCAGCGATCCGAATATGGTGGTGGTTGATCTTGGAGGGGGGAAGGGGGGCTGTCATGGCTTCCGGTGACAGCCCCCCTCCCTCGCTCCCCCCCCCCCCCGCTATCATATAAGCTACTGCCCCCTCCCCCTCCCGACGGGTACTCGGATGTCAGTACAATCCTTGCAGATATTTTATCGTGAGCCAGATCTGGTGAGACGGTGAACGAAGACGTGCATTTCGAAACGGCAGGCACCGATCGGCGAGAGAAAGAACATGACCGGAACCATGTTACTACAGAGGCTCACCTTCTGACATGATCTGCTCAGATAACTGCAAATATATCGAACAGTATCTGATCGTTCCAATTCCAAGTTGGTCTCATTCAAAAGTCCTGATGGAAGCTATCTATGAATGTTAAACTACGCGACTGCCATGCAGTCTGCGACAAAGCACGCTGTCGCTGACAGTGAAATGTGGCCCTGCTGGGTGCTGAGCGCTGCTGTTTCGGATTCCTCTTGCTCATACGGAGGACGGGCCTCCCGTCCACCCGACGTCGTCCTCCGTAAAAGGAGCGGCTGAGTGACAGCTGCCACTGGTCCGCGATATATCGGCCAGTCATGCAGACTGAACAGCGCACATACGCTGCCGGCCGGCCCGTGCTGCGGGGTACCGCTCCGCCCCGGCCACTCACCACCGCCGGGCCGATCCAGCCCAGACTGTGTGTCAGGACGTGACGCCGCCGACCGATACCCGCCGCCGTATACGGAGCGCCGGCGCGACCGGCGTCGCCCTCACCGCCAGATTAGGAGGCGGCCGCGCCACGCCACGCCACATCTGATACGGCCACGCCAAACACAAAGAATGTATGGGAGCGTGGCGCGGCCGACGCGTGATCAGCCTCGGAGTGGCGGACGGCGGGACCCCGGGCCGGGCCGTGGGCTCCCCTGGACCCCAGCAGTGGGCAAAAGGTCATATAGAGCACGATATCATTTCCAATGGATTAGAACTCACATCCGGAAATTGTCTCGCGAGATATGTCCTCTCACAGTGACACTCCAAGCCCTACCTCAGCTCAGGTGTGTCCGTCGCTTCTTAGAAATATGTTCGACTTATAGCGCCACTGTATGGCCCGTGTGATTGGTATCCCCAGCCAGCCCTCGCCGTCCACTGTGGTAACCTCTCAGCCGCTCTCCGCTGTGCAGGTGCCTGAGGACGGTCCTGACGAGGAAGCGCGCGAACAGGTGCGCTCGTCCAGCCACAGCCGACGCCACACCAAGGACGTGGACATGCTGGAGCACTTCTCGGTGCCGAGGGGAGGCCGACTGGCGGACGGCATCAAACTGGGAGACGGACTGCGGTGAGTGACTAACGTCTCAGGGTGACAAAGGTTGGGAGGGGGTTACCTAGAGGTTAATTAATCGTGAGAGAGGTGAGATGGATACCTGGGTGTGAATTCTGAGAGGCAAGAGAGGTTCACTAAATGACGGTGACAGTGTCAGCGGTATGACGGAATCCATCAGGAGCGAGGTAGGGAACAAACGGTTACGTTTTCCTGGTGAAAGGTGCTACAGTGCGTGTAGTAGCTGGGCTGCACGTATGTCATCCGTTTTTCCTACATTTTCTCAGGGAGAACTTACATTCCTACATACCATTTATACGGCGTTTGGTCATAGTTGTCTGGGGCTCAGCGCTCGACTGCAGCATATGTATGTTGTCCCGCATGTTCTTGCTATGTCTGACCGTCCGTTGGCCTCCCTCTCCCTCACAGGTATGTGAAGGAGAATGTCGAGGAGCAGCGGCAGGGCGACCCGGAGACGGGCGGTGTGTCGGAGCGGCTCCGGGAGCTCCACCGGCCGGCACTGCAGCACTCCAGCACTTCGATCGAGTACCGCCCCGGCGAGCATAGGGCCAGGGGTGGCCCCAGCAGCAGCTGGCTCAACGGCCACCTCAGCGCCGAGTCGCCGCCGTCGCCGCGGAGTCCAGAGGAGGACGGCCGCCGGCAGACCGGCTCCAGCCACCCGGAGACCTGGCGACGCACCGAGAGCTACACCCGAGAGGTGCGCGAGACGCCCGAGCGCACCTACATCAAGGAGACGCGCGAGTCGCCGCGCGGCGGCTACGAGCGCGTGCAGCTGGTGCCGGCCGGCGCGCCGCGACCGCCCGTCAGCTCGGCCATCTCCGACCTGGTCTCTGAGGTGGACGAGGACCCCATCTTCGCCAGCAAGTTCAGCTCGGGCAAGTCGCGCGGCGGCGGCGCCACCCTGGCGTTCACTAGCGTGCCGCGCGAGGTGGAGCGGCCGCCGTCTCCGCCCGCGCCCACGGCGCCGCCGCGGACCAAGAGGAAGAACCGGCAGAAACAGCAGGCGCCGCCGCCGCCAGAGCCGCCGCGGGAGGTCACCCACACGCCACCTCAGAGGCGCCGGACGCCACCACAGGAGGCGCGCTACTCTCCACCCCAAGTGCGCCGCATTCCCTCCCAGGAGGCGCGCTACTCCCCGCCCCAGATGCGCCGCATTCCCTCCCAGGAGGCGCGCTACTCCCCGCCCCAGATGCGCCGGTCCTCGCCGCAGGAAACGCGCCACTCTCCGCCGCCGGTGCGACGCTCTCCGCCGCAGGAAACCCGCTACTCTCCGCCGCAGGAGACGCGCTACACACCTCCCCGTCGGTCGTCAGCCGGTGAGCGCGACAGTACTCCGGTGCGCGTGCAGACCACTCAGCAGGAGGACGGCCGGATCGTGAAGGAGTACCACTTCTGCAGCAGTCCGCGGCCGCAGCGGCCGGTGCGGCGCGACTCGCCGTCGGCTGTCTGGGAGCGCAGTCGCAGCTCGGACGAACCGGACGGACCGGCGGCGGCGCGGCTCGGCGGACTGGCCGGCCGGCGGCACCAGAGCACCGAGCAACTCGACTGGCGCGCCGCCGAGCCGCCGTTCAGCACACAGACGGTGGACCGGCGGCGGCCGGCGCGGCCGCACCAGGAGCCCGTCCTCCAGACACAGACGCTCCCCAGGAAACCGCGTGAGTCGCGCGACCCGCCGTCGGCCAGTCGGCTCGGCGCCTCCTCCAAATTCGGCGGCAGCATGATCAACGTCTCCGTCCGGAACAACGTGTTTGGTAGCTCACCGGTGACGCGTCAGCCGCCGCGCCGCACTAACAGTCTGTATGAGAAGGAGGAGGGGCCGGCCGGCGGCGGCCTCAAGAGCCCCGACATCATCTCGGCCATTCAGAGGACGAGCGGTACGCGGCGCGAGGAAGACGACGATCTCCAGCGTCGGAACGTCGAGAAGGAGCCCGAGTGGCGGCCGACCGTGTCGGCGCACCCGCCGCCGCCGCCGCCGCCGCCCCCGCCCGCCAAGGTTCCCAAGGTGGCACCCAAAGTTGCGCCCAAGGTGGCGCCCAAGCCGCGACCAGCGACCAAGGAGAACTTTATGCGCGGTCTGATGCAGAACGCTCCCGAACTGTACTCGGCACTGCACGGCGACGAGCGGAAGGACTCCAAGACGCCGTCTCCGAAGCAGAGTCCGCCTCCAGCGCTGTATCGTGCCCGCTCGCCGGCGCCGCTTACCCTCGACTACGGGGCCATCTACCCGAAAACGCCGCCCGTGTTCAAGCGACTGGAGCGGCTGCGGGCCGACGAGGAGGTGGTGACCAAAGAGGGCCGCTCGCGCTCCACCACGCCCGCCGAGGACGTGCACAACTTCCGACTGGGCACCATGTCCCCGACCGGGGAGCGCACAGATCTGATCAAGGTGGGTGTCTAATGTCTATGTGGCAGGCCGGGGAGTGGTAGGGACTCTCCGCATTCCACTCAGCTGATCGAGCTCTTGGGGACTAGAGAGGGATCCGGGTTGGGAGCTGCGTGCAGCAGGAGATTATGCCCTAGTGCTGCCTGGGCCGAGCCCAGGTGTAATGTGGTAAACAGCGCAGTATTCGCAGAAGGCAGCTTTGTGCACGTGGCCAGAGCTTTCCACGAAGTGCCATTTTATCGGCGAGCTTCCGGCTCAGCAGCGTTCCGCTTCAATGCTGCATTTTGCAGTTAAGGTGCAGCCAGGTGGGGTCACTCTAGCTTTGCTTTATAGCGCATTTCCTCTCAGATAACTGACGGGTCGTTCTATGATGTTTCCGGCCCCATCTCTCTGTCAGAACCCTGCTGACGGATGGCTGTGTTTGCCAGGTACAACGGTGAGCTGCCGAGTTCCGAGTGAGCTCACAGCCCGCTGACTGTCGCCACAGCCGCCAGTACCCACCAGCCGCCACCCCGGGTCGGCCCGGCCGACTCGACGGCGCCCTGCTGCCTCAGCGTGCGGAGAGACACGGCGGAGACACAGGCCACTCTGCCTCAGCGCTGGAGAGACACAGCGGAGACACAGGCCACTCTGCCTCAGCGCTGGAGAGACACAGCGGAGACACAGGCTGCTCTGCCTCAGCGCCCAGGAGACACGGGCTGTTCTGCCTCAGAGCTGAGAGACCACTCTGTCACCAGTGGCGAGAGAGAATGTCCGCCCGTCGCCCAGTGCTGGTAGAGCAGCAGTGTGTCATGTTCAAGTGTCGTGAGAAGGACGTCCGTGCCGGCCGTTCGCCCCCGTGGATTCACTGAACCGGGAGCGTCTTAGAAAAGTGGCCGGCTCGAGCTCGCTAGGCGCCATCGAACGTTCGGCGAGTTGTTTAGGTCGAACGACCCCTGACGCGAATACCGATCGAACTGGTGAATGTTTATCGATGTAGGCACCTAACGCTTACTAGCGTGCACAGTGCGCCGCAGAGATGTTATGCCATGGTAAGTGTGTGCCGTGAATTAAACCATGGTGCTGTGTTGTGCCAATGCCTGCGTGACAAACCTAATATTAGGAGTGGCTTATTTAACTAATAATTGCCTTTTATCATCTCTAATCGTTTTCCATATCTGTAAATAGTTCGAGAAGTAGCGTTCATTCTATGAGTGTATGAGCGAGTGTCTTCGTAAAGCACAGAGCGAGTGGAGGTTGATTGAATCCATAGACGGCTGGACGGCCAGCCCGGCCGACGGCTCTGCGCATGTAAGAGAGAAAGAGAGAGAGAGAGAGAGAGAGAGAGAGAGAGAGAGAGAGAGAGAGAGAGAGAGAGAGAGAGAGAGAGAGAGACGTGTCTCTATGCATAAGCCAGTCAATAAACTGAAGACGCAGCTTTTTGTTTTGCCCTGTTGGAGATCGGTTTGAAATGCTAGCGTCAGGTTTCCACTTTGATCGTGTTAAGTCCATCTTCTGGTCTAACTTTATATTATTCATATCATTCATTCATGTCATATAGACATATTCTCCGAACTCCCGCAATTCCCGAGTAGAAATACGCCATCCTAATCATCGTCCGACCGCCTCTGTCTGAGAGCCATAGCGAACGAATACAGTAAAACTTCAAAACCAGGGGAAGCATTGACACCAATGGAGACATTACCGACTGTATTGGTACTCCGTTCTACACGCCGTCCATCAGGTCAGCTCAGGTCAGGTCAGGTCACCAGGTCAGATGGAGGAATCGCTCCCCCTGCCGCTCACACGAGTGACCGGATCACTCTTCTCTCACAGCCGCCCTCCAGCGGCGGCCCGAGCCGGCCGGCCGGGCCGCCGCTCAGTTCCCGCACATTCCCCGGCGCAGCGGAGACGTCCCCACTGTCGGACAGTCGACCCGGGCCGTCCGCCCCGGTCCGTCTCCCCCCCCCCCCCCGACCTAACGGACGCCGCCGGCGCGCGGCGCGTCTCTACACGACATGCAGTATAGCGCGGCGCACACAAGACAGTCCAGGTGAAACACAAGCAATAGCAAAGCGAGTCGCGCTCGCGCGATGGGCGCCAGCGCCGCGCAAAAGCCACAGCAAGCGCGAGTGGGGAGAGGTGCGCGCAGTCCGAGCACCGAGTCCCTGCAGAGAGTTGGCTGCTGCCGCCGGAGCCGGCCGCGTGCGGCGCCGCGGCGGCAGCCTACATGATTGTTAGCGTTTCGTGCCGGGGCACACACGACACTCCGGTCGGCATTCACACCAGCTCAGAACACCAGTCGCACCAGATCAGGGCACCAGTCGCACCATATTCACGTCAGAACGAAGCACCACCGTCCACTTCAGGGCAGACCACTGCCCACACCACCGTCCGTGCCAGGGCCGAGCGCCGGGTATGACTGTGTCGATAGCGCGTTATATTTACGTCAGTCGCAGCCCTGACTTGGTTCAGATGTTACCACGCCCTATATTTCTGTGCCGCGTTCACTTGCTGGTGGACTGGGCTCGGTCGTTTCTCACTCAGCTGCCTTCTCAGTCCCTGCAGTTCCGTCCCGCGGTCCTCCTGCCCGCGATATCCGCTGTAAGAGACGACCGGGCCGTACTATCCGCTGTAGCAGCGGACGAGTCAACTATATCCACTGTGACAGCAGATAAGGGGGCTTGGTATTCACTGCGGCAGCGTGGTATCCGCTGTAAAAGGAGAAGGGCCCGCAGCGGCCACTGTAGAAGTAAAAATGGGCCGCAGTATCCGCTTTACGAGCAGACGGGCCCACGAATCCACTGCTAAAGCAGACGGCCCTGGTATCCGCTGCAATAGCAGACGGGCCCCGACATTCTCCGCAGATCAGTCCGGCAGTGCCCGTCCCGCCGACAGACCAGCCCGGCGGCGCTGTCTGCCGCAGCGACTCAGTCTCGCAGCTTCACAGACCGGTGACTCGCTCTCAGCTGGGTGGACAGGCGGTCTGCCCGCCTACGACATGGACGAGCAGGGCAGGTGCGGCGAGCCCATCTGTGTAAGCACCCGGTCCAGCCACTGCAGCGGTCCGTTCAGGTGCAGCTCGATCCAGCAGGGCGTCGAGGTGACGATCTGCCGCCGGTACTCGGCGCCCCAGCCCTTGACGAAGCTGATCCGAATGGTGCACATGCGCGTCAGGCTGTAGACGGCCTCGAAGCCCTGGTTCACCGACTGGGCCAGCATGGCGGCGAACTCGAGGTTGTTGAAGATCTTCAGGTTACACTCTGTCGGGGAGGAGAGCCGTCAGACATCGGTGGGGTCAGAGGGAAGAAGATCGTCGAATGTGGTAAAAGGTATTCCCTGACTACCTAACGGGATCGATACCAACTAGACCAACACTACCATCCGAAAGAGAAAGGGCTCAGATATCAAGGCAGGCGGGTAAGGAACATATTTTTGACTGTGGAGGCGACCGGCAGCGACACAGCCCAATAAAGGTTTTCAGTAGCGTGCATTCACAAATAATGATGATAAATTGTGGTCTACATAACGAACGAACTACGAAACACTACATCTACAGTACTTGCACCCCATACCCCTCCACCAAGTCCCGGGTCCACTGACTGGGCGGTATTTTGCAGACAGTGGCCGGGTGCCAGCCGAACCGGTGGTTACAGTTGGGTGACTGGACAAAGATGGCCGACTCGCTCAGACACTCGGCAAACACCTCACCGCCTGAAATGCAAAGGAACGGGATGGGTAATTACATTTCTTACTATACCCCTTCAACCGAAAGATTATTCGATTGAATCGATAAGCTATCCGCGCAGCCAGCGGCGCTGACCACCTGAACTCTTCGTGCATCTGCCTCTCGTCTATGCCCCCGCTACGACCTAGATTCTACTTTTTGGTTGATTTGTTTGATTCCGAGACTTCTCTTGCTCACCGATGTAGTAGAAGCGGACGCCGTGCCCGATGTTGCGCCGCGTCTGCTCCACCACCGGGTTGCGGTTGATGTTGCTCAGCAGGCCCAGGCAGAAACGGTCCGAGCTGCTCGGGTCCGTGAAGCCGTCCACGGTCAGGCTCGGCTGGGAGGCGTGGAACGTCTCGCCGACGCGGCTCGACAGCTCGTAGTAGCTGACCGAACACCAGAAGGTGGGCTCGCAGTAGGTGACCGGCTGGGCGTCGGGCGCCACTACCGGCGGCGGCGGCGACGGCAGCACGCCTGCGGGGAGGGGGGGGGGAGGGGTCATGGTCACTGACTGTCGTTGCGGTTACCGTTGTTCCCAGCCCGTTTCCCCATCCAACGTATGCCCCTCTTGTTACCCCTCTCGCTTTCCCCTCCACTGACTGTTGTTAGTGTTCCTCTACCACTTCACCCAATGCTCCTCTCGCCACTGATTATTGCTTCGGTCACTGTTGTTACCCCTCTCCATCCCCCGCCCACTGATTGTCGTCGCAGTCCCCGCTGTTACATTTCCCCGTTGCCCGTCGACTCACTGTCGTTTCGGTCACTGTTGCCTCCCCCTTCACACACACACGCACACACACACACCGGTCCCGTTCCACGTCCCGTCGACTCACTGTCGTTCCTGTCGCTGTTGTCGCCGTCCTCTGACATGAACGAGGCCGGCGGCGAGTCGGGCACCGAGGTGGCCGGCGACTCGGTGGGCGCCACCTGCTCCATCGGTGACGTCATCTGGGCGTTCTCCGGGGGCAGCAGCGACAGCTCGTCCACGGCCGGCGGCTGCGGCGGAAACTCGCTCGGGTCGCGCTTCGGCACCAGAACGGCGGGCAGCGCTGCCGGCGGGGAAGGAAGTGTCAGTGGAACCGACGTCAGAGGGGCAGAAAAGCGTAAGAGGGACGGGAATAGTCAGAGAGACGGACGCCAGAGGGGCAGCGATAGTGTCAGGGGGACAGGGAGATGTCAGCGGGGCAGAAAAGCGTAAGAGGGACGGGAATAGTCAGAGAGACGGACGCCAGAGGGGCAGGGAGATGTCAGAGGGACAGAGAGACGTCGTAGGGTCGAAAGCGTTTCCCTCACGCAACCAGCAGGCAGCACTGCAGAGAAAACAGCACACCAGTCGGAGAGACCAGAATATACGCTGGGTGCGCACAGCCAGGCGACTTTTTACTAGATTCTGGAGTTCAGTGTTCTGCCAGGTAATTAACAGCCACTTGACGAACATCTGTACTGATTGAAACGTTTGGGGCGCTCGTGAGTTCCAGACCGTAACCACCTATTTAACCATGCTCATCTAATTTTCTTACAAAGGGTCACTCACCGAGCGCCTGTGTCCGCAGGTAGTGGTACGGGTTGACGCAGACCTCGTCCTTTTTGGATGTGAAGGAGAACTGGCAGTGCTCGATGGGTTTCAGCTCGTGGTGCGACTGTAGGTCCGGGAAGCGCCACAGTCGGCAATAGATGACGTGAGGCAGGCCTTTCTTCTCAGAGACCTGTAGCCGGCCGTCTAGGGACCTGGAGACACGGCACAGGTCAGTAAGGAGCGCGGAATGCGCTCAGCGTTCTGACCATATTAGATTAGGCAGGCAACATAACTATCATAGAACAGGGGTGCGGGACAGGAGGCTGTAAGGCAGTCCAGCCAGATGCATAGCGCACTATGACGTACTGACTATCCGGGTAATGACAATCGCCATTCGCCAGTATTACCTAGACAGTCGATTACGCAGTTCAGTAGCGTAGTCGGTACGCAACGCTCACGACAAAGGCTCCCTTAGACGACAGCAGCGGCAAGCTGACCTGACGTGATACCGTCCCGCATTACTCGCCAGTTGTGTCGTCGATAATTTAGTGGCGTAATGATATTAGCAAATACCTCTGCAACGCCGGACGACAGCACTAACCGTACCTTTGTAGCATCAATCCTACTTCTGCAGCGTCATGTCTGCCTATCGACGACATTTTTCGAACGGGACCACCGTAACACATACACGTAACACGGCGGCAGTTGTAACCGAGACTGGCCACCGCCTCACCTCGGTATGGTGATGCACTTGGTGGACGGATCCTGGCCAGAGATGGCCCGCTCCAGCTCCTCCACCGAGCCGGGACACTTCTTCAGGCGCTTGATCAGGCTCTTGACGGCCTTCTCGGACCACTTATCCTCGCCGTCACTCTTCTTCCAGTGCAGCAGTCTCTTAACGACGGGAGGCGTGAACGGGTTTATGGACATGATCCAGCCTCTGTTTGCTAAGACCAGGCATGAATAGCACTAGAGATCTGAAAAAGAGAAAACACTTTTCATAAAACGAATACAGTAAAACTTCAAAACCAGGGGAAGCATTGAAACACTAAGAAAGCCAACCTTAGATTGAAAATATGGGTTCAAGAATCAAAATCACTATAGACAGGTTGCTTTGCAAGAACAGTTCGAAATTGCATTAATATTTTCATTCTGCAGCGACATCCTTCACCGGTCAAACTGGGAATAGG